TTTACGGAATAAAGTTAGAAAGAATTAGAAGCAGTATCATTTTACTCGTTAACTTTTTAGAAACTTTATATATACCACCCTAAAGCTCAAGGCCCTATAGAATAGAATATTTACTTTATTCTTAAAATCAAAATTATTCTTTTAAATTCTATAAGTACTATTTCCATTTTTAGGATTCTAGGGTGCCCTTTAGTATAATATAAAAATTGAAAAATGTATAAAAAAAGCCTGAAGATTATAAGCCTATTTTATGATATATACCCCCGTGCTATCTTAGAGAAATCTTTGAAGTTTTAATTTTAAAGTCCGTACAAATAGACTTTTCAGTCCGTACAAATAGATATTCTCAATATTATAGTCAAACTTCTAATTTACGACGGAGAAGAAAAGAATAGATAGAATATTGGAAAATAAATAGAATATTGGAAAAGAAGTCCTTATTGTATTGAACTATGGCTGGGTGGCTGGTATATTTGTGGTAGATATTGCGTATATGTTAGATTTGTTAGTAGCTTGTATAGTTGTAAATAATGAAATAATTTGATATAATTACGTACGATTAATAGGGAAGTACCTCTTCTTCTTGCGTTTACTATTAGTATAATGCAGCCATTTACCTATTATGTCCAAATAATGTCCTAAGGTACTAACGTTAATGCTAGTCGATGATTTTGTTTCTGGTGTTCGTTAAACTTCGAGACGTCTACGATATATACCTTTTCTATTAGAACCGCTAGTAAGCTAATGATTAGCGCTTCTCGTGGAAAAATACGGGGTAGTTTAAGGTTGGTGTTCATGATGTTTGATACTACTATTTTCGTAATTACTAGAAAGACATGGCGCTCGCTGTAGCGGGTTTGCTTATGCGTGAAAATATAGTTAATACGGCCGAAGGTATTGTTATTTCGGTACTTGATGTTATCTCCTATATTGTATGTGTGTCTTCGGAAGGTCCTATATATATTTCATTAGTTATAATACCGATTTCGGTGCGAAGTGCTTGGATATTTATGTATGGGATGATATAATGCGCAGTAATACGAAATGTAATATAGCTGTTTGGTAAAGTACGTAAATAATTATATATTAACGTTACAATATACTATTAGTGAGGATGAGCTTGCAAGGGGGTAGTAAGGCCTTGCATCTGCTAAAGTGGTATGCTGGGATGATGGTTCGGTAAAGTAGGCTCGGGGTTTCGGAATTCAAGTATAGTAAGGTACAAAGCTAGATAAATGCTAGGTATATAGGTGGACGGCTGGTTGTAGTACCTATTTTAATATATAGCTAGCGTTCGTTGAATAATAGATATAGGATGAGGTATACTTACTGATTTGTAAAGGAAACTCGATTCGAGTATTGAATAGTACTTAGACTAAACCGATTAATATTAATACTATAGTCTAGTTCGTATGTTGTAAATAGAGTACGGCGGAAGGTATCCGATATTTGACGTAATAATAATAGTAAGTGATGGCTATATTTAATAATGGGGTGGTGTACGTTACGTATCTTGGTTTTTTTAAATTTGCTAATAATAGTAGGTTGTAGATGGTTTTCGCCCACGCTGGGAATGTCCAGCTCCTCTTCCTCCCGAGTAGTAGGGGAGGGGGTTATATTGAGTTTGACTTTGATATTGCGCTAAAGTAGATCTTCGAATAAAGTAGGGGCTTACTAGGCTAAAATATAGATATGATCTACTAAAGCGCGGTCGGTATTTGCAAATAAATTGAGTAGCGCGAAACGAATTGTGTGAATAATGCTCTTCTATTCGAGGATCTATTTTTCGATATCTCGGCTATTGGTTGTCTAGGCTATTGCTTTCAATCGTTTGTATTATTATTATTATTAGTTTTAATCCTTTAATATTATCCTTTTCGCTGCGGGCTCTGGTTTTGTACATCTAATTGCGATAGAACTGTGTTGGGCGGCCCGGCGCCGGGCCGAGATTTTGTATAATACGGGTATAATAGGGTTTTAGGGGTAAATATTAGTACTACTTATTTGTAATATTTCTCTTCCGCTAATATATTGAGTAAATTAGGTAAACCGTACTTATTATAAAAACGATTATAATATATACCTAAATATATATTTTGTTGTAGTACTTTTCTAATATATTCTTTCGTGCGCTTGGGAAGGTTAGTTGCTTCCGCCGCTGTATTGACGACCCCCTATTCTTCGTTTTCTTCGAATATTTCTATATTGTTTAGCATTTCGATGTTTGCTATGCCGCTGCTACTACGGCTACTGGTACTGTGATTATTCGTAGTACTAAAGCCTCTAGTACTTATTGGTCTGCTTGCTCCTATTAACGAGATCCGAAATGACATTTGTAACGGATAATAAGCTCGGCTTCCGAATACTTGGGAGTGGTGCGCTCTGGGATTCTTGGCTACTGTATATGCCGCAGCCTGGCATAGTTTTTTATACCATACCCTTCCATTACAGGTAATATTTTTAATCTTCTTATATACTTATTTGGTATTTCTAATGTTTATTAATATAGAGTTACTCTGAGCTATCATTACTATTGCCTATACAATACAGTTCAATAAATTGTCGTTTGCTCCGTCATTTTTATTATTATTCTCCCTATCCGAATTAATACAGTTGGGTTGTATTACGGCCTTCTAAACCGCCTATGCATGTCGGTTGATATGATCTTTCCGTAGCTATGCTTCTAGAAGGGGTGCTATAATAATTGACTATTGGGCATGTTGTGATAAATTGTATGCGTCGAGGTATGAGATAGAAGGTAAAGCGTTCTAACTAGAAGGGAACGGCTAGTTAGGAAGTATACGGCTATACTCAATACTTGCCTTGGGCGTAAAAAAGACGTTAAGAAGCATTTTGTGAGTGGCGGTTATTATACCCTTGTACTTAGAATGTGCTGGATCTGGAACCCGGGTTATAATGGTGTCTAGCGTTGGCGTTAGGTCGAATAATGCTGGCCGTGTTTTGTTAATACTCTACTGGGTCCTGAAAGCGGCCTTGTCTTTCTTAGTGAATAGATTATTGTCTATTTCGTACCGTATTTGTATATGTTGATAATGGAACCTGTTGATCTCGGGGGTTCCTATACTGCGAATGACGTTTTATTAATTGACGATGTGTTCTGGGCTAACGAAGTAAAAAAGAATTTATAGCCTGCTATACCGATAATGCTAGCGTTCTGGTTCTGTTGTGGCATATCGCTAGTATAATAAAGCGTAAATGCCGATACTATAGTAGGTCTACTATGTATTTCTATTATTACTATGCCTTGATTAAGTAGTTTTAAATAGCTAAGATATTTGATAATATCGTCGAAGTTGGAAGCGTGGGGGCCTAAAACTAATCGAAAAATATTGGCATTTATAGCACGGCTATTTCCAAAAGATAGGCCGGCAGGGCTCTGGTACATGCCTATAATTGACCGACGGGCATTGCGATAAATGCTAAAGCCGTTAATGAATGTAAGTACTGGACAGCTTAGCACATCTATACCGCCGTTGACTCTGTCCTATTGATCCTTAAAAATTGTACGATTAAATGCTTTGATTTCTAGCTCCGCTCGAGGGGGTAAGGTATAGGCAAGGGGGTAAATTTGTCTTTTAGAGTCGGGATTATTAGGGTTTATTCGATAGCCGGTGCCCTCTTTCTCGTTGAGCCCTACTTTGTCAAAAATACGACGGACCAAAAAGGAATTCTTCCTTTTGTTGATGTATGGCTCCGTTGAGTATTTAGTAAAATTCGGTCTTGGCGCCCTTTTACTAGGAATAGTTGGGCTTGGGTTATTTAGGTTATTGCCGTCGAAATAGTTGGAGTTAACGGGTGTAAATTGATTAGTCCAATGTTGAGGAATTTAGTGCTCTTCGTCTAGACGTATTACGAGTTCAAACTTTTCGAAATGTATGTCCTTGCCTACTTGGTAGTGTATGCCTAGGCTTGGAAATTCTTACTCGATAATGTTGATGTCTATGTATTCGTTGATAATAAGTGTGACTTCCTCTTTATACTCGCAAAAGTTGTTAGTATAATTCTTGCCTATAGCCTTAATATGGCCAATATGTATGGTATGGTTAGGGTGGTCGTTATTAAGCCGATAGTTGTAACGACCATTCTCTTTGCAATAATAGAAATAGATGGAATTTGACGGGAAAATAGCCTTCCTATTGTTATTAGTATTATTGACGAAATGTGTGTACTCGCTAGAGGTTGTGCGAATGGATAATGACTAATAAGGTATATGATATAGTTCTGTTGGATTGTCTACCAAATGGGCTATGCCTTTGTGCAATGTTGTAGTTGTGTCTGAATCGAGAAATGCTTGGAAGAGAGATTTGGGGTCTATAAAGTATAGGGATATTGAGACTGTGTTTGGGTCTGGTTACTGGTCGTTTAATTGGTTAGAATTAAAGCCCTCTAGGGATTCTAAGTCTATATTATTACCCCTGTCTTTTTGTTCCGGTATATTGTACTTCGCTTCCTGCCGCTTCGCTTCTTGCTCTTGTTTCTAACGTGCCGATTCCGTCCTTATTTTTGAAATTTGTAGCGGTATATTTACAACCCTTATATTTAGTAAAGGCAATCTATATAAAAGAGTAACCATCCCTGCACCCTATGCGTTCCCACTGGCACCCTCCCCCACCCAGATGTCGGCTGTCATGTAAAATATCGAGTTTTAGCTGTAAATTTCTATATTTTCAATGTCTAGTAACATTTGTAGCTGGGTCACCCACCTGTAAATGCGTCCCCATGACTCAAATCTCGCGATATCTCTTAGGGTTGAATATCTATCTCTACCTTATTTATAGTCTAAGAGGAGGAGGAAGCGCGACGGCGGCGGCGTTGTCCCTGGTTATATTGAGGCATTTGTACGATTGTCAGCGTTTGAAAGTGATAAAAATCAATTAATTTGAGTGAGATTATATACGTTGCGTGCGTTGAGTGTAGATGAGTATAGCGTAATGGGTGCAGTATGGGTGCAAATGACCGTGTGAAAAAGAGCGAAAGAAATGACCAAGTTAGAGGGGATGTTGCGTGCATTTGAAAGACGAAATTTTGCGGGTAAAAACGGGATTTTCACTGTCAGGTTTCATCAGCTGGACCGCCCCATTTTTCTGGGTGGGGGAGGGTGCGAATAGGAAGGCATAGGGTGCGGGGAGGTTTACTCATATAAAATGTGTTTTTTGAGAGTTGTTTATTGTTTGGGAAGCTATTTAATAACCGGAATACAGTAGCTATTACAACCTTATAATGCGCCTAACATCTTTACCTATATCTTATATTGCTTGTGGCATATGCGGTTAATATGTATATATAGGCCGAATAATACTTTAAAGTCGGAGAATCCCTCGTGCTTATTACAGTAATGCTGTAGAAGTTTGGATTTATTAGTTATTAAGCTATGCAATATAATACCTTCGATGATGTCGGGTTCTTTTAATTGATTGATTTATTTAGCGACCTATTCGTCGATAAAGTCTTCGTTAAATTTAATAGTATTGGGGTGTTGTTTGTTAAATTCCTATTCGTTATATTCGATATCTATGCGAAGTTCTTGTTTATTGACTTTTAAGTCGGTTAGCCGGCGCTTGATGTTGGCGAAATTAATATTGCTACCAAGTAGAGCGTTTTAGTGGATTATATCGTTCTTTTTTGTTATGGTTTAGTTTTAATATAAAAATGGATAATTAATTAAATTTTATTTCTATTTACTATATTGTTGTTATCCTTAATATCCTTCTAATTATCATTTGGACTAGTTATATTAAATATAATATTATTATTCCTATTATCGTTGCTAAATATTGGGCCAAAGCTCGGCGATCTTATTAGTGATTTTCTCGGTTGGTTAGTATATGGGTATCTAGATGCTTGGGATAGGAATTCGTCGGCTACGGTTAATGTGGAAATATTGTAACGGCCGGTTGATAATATTGTTAATACGTACTATAGGCTGGTGCTTTGGCCGGGGTTTACGCGGTATATTAATTTTATTATAGTTAAAAGGGTGTAAAGACGAGAGATATATTGTTGAGGGGCGAGTTGGTAAGAGTTGGAAGATTTCTAAGTTAATCCAATATTAGAATTACGACGATTAGTCGAATATATTCTAATTATTATATAACTAATTTGAAATATATAAATACTTTATATAACCGTTCATCTCATATATATATTAATCCTTACCCCCTTACGTATTTATTCTTATTCCCGTCTCCTATTTACATTAAATATATACGTTAGTATTATTCAGGGTCTAGTAAGGTCGCTGGGCGTCCCTTATATTTAATTAGCTACTTCCCCTACCAAGCCTGTAGTTCGAGCCATACTTCGGGGATACCCCACTTTAGACTTTCGAGAGTCGTTGCAGATAGAGATACTCGACATTCAATACTAGATCATAATTATTACCTTCACTTATTCTTATTAGCAATGTCCCGCGATTTTATCCCAACGTATTAGATAATTGATAATAGGGATTATTTACTAGCACTATAGTGCAATATAGAAGGCGGAAGAAAGGTGTACCCCGCACACACAAACTGCCACATCAAAATCCCCAGTCCCCTCTTCCTCTTCCTCGTCCTCTTCCTCTTCAACTATATACCACGCGACGGTTATTTGTATCTCCAACGAGTTCTTAGCCTCTCATCTTGATACTTTTTTAACCTAACTACTACTACCTAGTTAGCTCGTTTTATAGCATTCTAGTTGTAGTGTTCAACGTCCTTTCCTTTCCATCCTTTAGCTTAGTGTCTAGTATTGTCGATTTGATTGATAATTATTTTAGGTTATAGCTATTATAAGTATCCCTATTAATTGCACAGTCTATTCTCCGTTAGTCGTACTATTAATATTAATTTAGACGATACTTAGCAAATACAAGGCTAATAGTCGTCCGCGGGGTCGCCTGCCCAAAGATGACCAAAGTGCGCCAGCGGGACCTTCGGGCGCCGCGCCTCTAAAGGATAGGGAGCCAATCGGTCGTTTAGTACGGTTAGAAAGGAGCGCTATAGTAAATATACTGAGTCTGCTATCTTGACGGATATTCTCCAAAAGGATACCCAAAGCCGTAGCTAAGTAAGCACTTCTAATGTGATATTACAAATTGGTTCCACATTTTATAAATATTAAAAGTCCTATACTCCCGACCGTTAGACTTGTTCTCCCCCTCCTGCCGCTATTTAGGGTCGTTAAGCTACCTTACACTAGGATACTTTGCGCCAGCTAACTTATTTTCCTCCGCCTGCCGCTATTATATTTAGTTAAGGCTAGTCCTCTTAGAGCCGTCGCCCCCCTTAATATCCTCTACTTCAACCTCCGCCTCAACCTCCCGCCTTTTCTAGCCTTTTTAAAGACTAAGCATTTTAGAGCCGCCGCCCCCCTTAATATCCTCCGCCTTAACCTCCCGTATTTCTAAATTTGCCTCCTCTAGGATAAAGCCATATTCTGTAATTTATAGGTAAATAGGCTAGTAAAAAGATATTACGTAGTATATAAAGTATAAGTAATATTATAGGTAATTCATTTAATATAGAGGAAGTTGTAACCTTTAACGAGGTTAATCAAACTACGTTTCAATACAAGGTCAAAAGGACTAGCGAATACTTTGCGCAGCGTTTAGATTAAGTTTAATATAATAGAGAGGTACGGAAACGCTACGCTAAGATATTTAAAGCTATTCGTAAAGGCGAAGAAGATGATCCCGATACTTTTACGGGTCGTAGCAATGTAGGTAAAAGATTGGGCGAATTAAATGATTAAAAGAAGGTAAAGGATATAGAGAAAGTCAGGCGCGTTAAGTTTCTACCTATCCCCCCTTCGATACAATTACTAGTAGTATTACTACTATTAGTACATCCACTATTGGTACTACTAATTATGGTAAATAACCCCCTTAATCCTCTACGACTGCGCTATAATTGCTCGGCGCAGTCCAATTAATATAATTACCTCCAGCCTCCTTCTTTAAAAGCGTTTTAAGCAATAGTATTTTTAACCCTCCAATCCCCACTATAATCTCTAGTATAAACGTAGCGGTCTTTAATATTAATATAATCGCTTGGATTATAATAATGATTATAATAACGGTAGCGAAGGCTATTACAGTAATAAAACTATTATTAATTATAAAGATAGGTTTTATAGGGACTTTAACGAAGATGTTAATAATATTAAGGATGAAAAAGAAAATACATTTAGCGATATTGGTACTTCCCGCTCCGGCACATCTGGCCGTAACCAAGGTCGTCCCGAGTATAACGGTAAAGATGAAAATAACGAGGATCCTATCTAGTATAACGAGCACGAAGAGGAGTTCGATCTTAGTAATTTTAGTCGTAATAGAGGTCGTAGCTATAGCGGTCGTAGTAATCGTAATGATTATAAGCATAGTCGCGGTGGTCGCGGTGGTTATAATAAGGGTTGTAATAACTGTGGTCGCGGTAGTAATCGCGGTAGTAGTCGTAGTAGCCGTAGTAGTAGCCGTAGTAGCCGTAACACCAGTCGTACTAGTTCAATACAATCTGAGATTCCCGCCCAATTATCTAATTCTCGTTGGAGAAATCGAAGAAGAAATAATAGTTGTTGTTTCGAAGAATCTTTCTCCGAATTCTTTTATATTGCGAGCCGCGCTAGCTTTCGGAGTTTTTAATAAAGCGGCGTACCTACTTATTTAGATTTTAACCTTATTACGGGCGAGTATATACTAGACGGTATAGAGCCTAAGACTCCCTTGTATATCGAAGACCTTCTTGAAGGCGCTAAGATCCTTAATAATTACCTATCTATCCTCAACGAAATTAGTAAGGAAGTTCAATAGGCGTTGTTCTTATTCTACTACAATTGGTTTTATAGTTCGATTAGTATTAAATAGGCTATTCCCGGTATCGATACCCGTTATAAAAGGTTCAAAGATCTTCGCCTTTATACATAGACATCTACAAATTATTGAAATCCGAATTCCTTATTGGCTCTATACTCGGCTTTTTTAGAGATTTGGCTTCGGATTACCCTAAAATCCTCGATTATAACTTGTTCGGAAATCTTTACTATAAGGTCTAATTCAAACAGTTTATTAATAGTTGGCTCAATAAGCGTACTCTTAATAAGGTCTACCTTTATATTACTAAATATACTAATTACAAGGCCACCTTCGGTAATAAACGCCAACTTCCCTTCTACTTTATTAAAATAGAGCTTTTTGATATAGGCCGTATCTTCATCGACATTATCAAATCCGAGAACGAGATGAATAGAGGTCGTCCCTGTGGTAGTAGGAGGATTACTAATGAAAATACCCGTTGAATAATGCGCGCTATATTCGAAAGCTTACCTTTTGATAATAAATATATTAAGTTCGAGCGTAATTAATTCGTTAATATGCCTTTGGAATTTGTACCCAAGGTTGTACAGCTTGCTAGAACCCCTAATCTAGGCCTGCTTTAATACAGTATTATTGATAAACAGCCCCCCTTAGCGCGGCAAAATACCTACCCCTTAGTTAGTAAATGGCGCCCTATACCCAATAACCAGTTTATTTACGCTAGTAGTTCTAGCTCTACTTAGCTAGGGGTATATAGGGGGTCAATTACAATGCCCTTACCGTGGAATACCGGTATCGAGATTTATTACCATCAGATTACCGTCAACTAACGGTAAGTTGCATTTTACAATTGGTTAACAAATTACCATTACTTAACATTTTACCGTAGGGCGCCATACCGCGCTAAATCGTCAAACAGGCTCAAAAAGGCAATCACAATTATAGGCTCTTGCCCTTCAAATGTACGAAGTCTTACAGTCGCAAATATCAAAGGCAATCGCGACAGGAGGGGTCTTACTAATTGAACGAACTTCATACTGTTAGCACAATGCGTACGGGCTACTACCACCATTATTACTATTATTACCAAGAAATAAAGAACTAGATAATACAATAAGGAACAATATAGGTCTACCTATCTATGTAACTATCGGGTCCGCTATTGAATATATACCTAAATATATACCTAAATATTCTAATACTAGATGTGATCCTAGACCGTATAATGCTAAAAGTATCGTTAACTACCGTAATTCTAAATACCCTGAAGTATACGAAATTGAATGTATACTTAAAAGTATCGCTAATTGCTATATTGATTGTTGTACTAACTATTAGGATTCTGAATACGATACTAATACTATTAATCGGACAATAATTATACTTATAAATAAACTTGACAAAATACTAAACTAATAACTTAAAGGTCTAGAGACTTTATACTAACTAGAGTCTTAGACTCCAATGTCGCAGCGACGAATATACTCTCAGAGGAGTCCTGTATCGAAGTAATAGGCATGCGAGTACGCCTGGGAACAGGTGGAATAATATCGGCAATTTTCGAGAATGGTTATCCACCACGACCACCACGACCACCACCACGACCACCACTACGACCACCACTACGACCACCGGGGGGGCCGGGAGGGCCAGGAGGAACACTACAACTACCGGGAGGACTACTCCAAGTACCCCAACCACTACAACCACCGGGAGGACTAGTAGGATAACCAGCGGGAGGACTACCCTAGCCATTACAATTACTACAATTACTATAATTACTATAATTACTAGGAGGACCACTATAACCACTATAACCACTATAACCACTATAACCACTAATAGGGGCGATATGACTAGAAAGACCAAGGTTATTAAATAACAATTATTTATAACATCTATTTCATAAATTAAGAGACGGTACGGCTTCGCTAGGAACGTTACGACAACTACAATTACCAACTTAGCACCAATACTCGAATTCAAACCGAATAAAGGTATATTCACAAGTCTAGTCTTAACTATAATCACCCCTACCTATACCTTAGTAGTCTTATTTATAACCACCTTATTAACTACTATAATTACTATAACTACTTTATTAACCGCTATAACTATATTAAGGATCGCTATAATAACCACTATATAAACCACTATAGTAACCTTAATAACTACCTTAATAACTAGTATCGTAACTACTATTATAACTCTAATTATAACTCTCGTTACTATAACTATTATATTTATCCTAGGAACGAATACTATAACCTTAATTATAACCGCGGGGGTCAATATAACTACCTTAATAACTACAACCAATCCTATCCTCATAATATCTACGGCCGCCACCCCTAGTATTATCGTAACCTCTATTATTATAACCTCTATTATTAGAATAGCTTAAACTAAATACGTCTTCTTCCACTAGCATAAAGCGCTATTTACTAGCCATAAAGTGGTTATCGGTCCTCCGTAGAAGAGACAATTCATCGACAAAGGTATCTTCAAAGTAATCCAAATCCGAGGCTTTAACTAACTAAATAACTTTAGGTACGAATTCTAAAAGTATATCAATAAATTAATCCCGCTCAACGCCTTCATACTTTAGGGAAAAAGGCAGGCTCTTATACTTTTTACACATTTTTCAACGAAAGTTCTTATTAATAACCCAAGCTTTACCGGGTTAACAGTTTTTATTTATAACCTATTCAAATTTAATAACCTTAAGCCACACCACGCCTATATCCTAAAATTCAATCTCAAAGTAAAACCAAATAAGGGATTCCTTATTACCGAAAGTAATTTTATAAAGAATATACTTAGTAATATAGGAATAGACTTAATTAAAAGTACATTTATTAATCTAACTTAAAATAAGTAGTTTACATATAGATTTATCCTCAGAATTATTAAAATTGTATTTTAAAATATACGGATTATCCAAAATAATATTATTAAGAAATAACTATATAGTAATAATAAAGTAGTAAAACTTTAAGGTACAATAGGTATCTAATATATATTAATAAAAATTCTTAAACCTACTTTTTCGAGGGTCGATCTAGAAATTGTATACTCGTTTAATAATAGAGCCGGCGAACTAATTATAGTAGAATAAGAATAACGACCATCGGATTTCCTTATTGATTTTTAATTAATTATAATTGAATTATCCTTCGGTATAGTACTACCTCGAAGAATATTAATATATAAAGGGGTTAATAAGAAATTAGAGTCGGGGATATAATAATAACCGTCAGTAATAGGGTTATATTATAAATAGGAAGGTACACTAATCTTTCGAAAATTCTAAAAATTAGTACAGATCGGCTTATAGAAATATTTTGGGTATACGTTTTCTAGGCGCCCAATACTATTATACCTTCGGCGATTCCTAGTACTTGAATTACTATTACCTCTACTATTACTACTACGAATAAATATTTCTAGTTATTAGCTACTATATTTACCGCTACTACTATAATTAGATAGAATAAAAGTATTAAAGTTGCTAAGATTCTGATTATCGAAGGTACTAGATAGATTAGAAGGATTAGGAGTACTGGAAGGATTAGGAGTATTAGAAGGACCAAACTCTTTATTATCGAAGGGACTAAGAGTATTAAAATCGCTAAGATCCTAATTATCGAAGGGACTAAATAGACTAGGAGTACTAGAAGGACTAGGAGTACCAATATTACCTAGGTTATTATTATTATCTTCTTCTTCTCCGACTTTGGTAATTAGAAATATACCTTTAATACCTATTATTAAATACCTAGTCTGGCTTTCGGTTATTATAGTAAACGGCTTCTGAATATTAAGCGTAGTACTAAATTTAAATTTCGGTTTAAATTTTATTAAAGAATAATAATAGGAATAGCGCCCTTTTATTTTTATTTTTACTCCTTTATAAAGTGCAAATCCTCTTAATTAAATATTCTCCTACTTTTCATTCCTTATTGAAATCCGAAAATTCATCGGAATTATTATTTCCGAAATTGATTACTTTACCCTTATCCTTAATAGCTTTTCTTTACCCCGCCTATTCGCACTACCTCTTTTATTTCTCCCTATTTTTAGCCTCTTCGAATAATTTACTAAAATAATTTTTTTAATTTAATTGAACTTTCTCTTCTTCGGCTTAACAATATTATTCGGATTCGTTGACTAAACGAATATATTTAGCGTTTTAGCGAGCTTATACTTCCTATTAGTAAATTTACTTATTAATCTTTTTAATAGACGTAAAGTATTATATATTAAAATCGCTTCCGGTAGTTATACTCTAATTATTATACAATAAACTTCAATTCTACAAAAACGAAAGTTACTTCCTTTTCTAAGGGGGTATAATTTTCTTTTTACCTTATTACTACGGAGTTGGCTAGCTTTATTAGACTTCGTCCTATTAATTTTACTAGCTATAAGGGGAAAATAGCTACGAAGGTAGAAATTGGCCTTAATTGCGACCATAACCGAGAGGTGGAGGGGGAAATTGGCTACGACTACAATTAGGAGGTAGAAGGGGGAATTGGCTTTAATTACGACCAGGAGGTGGAGGGGGAAACTAGCCTTAACTACAACCAGGAGGTAAAGGGGGGAATTGGCTACAACTACAACTAGAAGGTAGAGGGGGGAACTAGCCTTAACCGGGACTATAATTAGGGGGGGGGGGTTATTATCAGGGATATTAGGGGGGGAATAGTTAGCAGTTTAGTAACTAAATTTAATATTTCTAAAAAGTCGCTATTATTCAGTATATTACTATCCTTAATACTGAATAAGAAGCTTATTAAGTCCTACGGAAAATTCAGGTGAAGTATAATATTTTTACTTATATATTATTATTAATATTATTATTTATAACGACTATATAATATTATATTAGGGGTAGGAATAGGTCGATAGGACGGTTAATAGGGCGGTTAGTAGTTTACTACCTAAGAATCCTTAATTAAAGGATCGGTTAAAATAATTATAAATAATTTAATGTAATTCTTTTTAGAATCTTTTTAATTATAATACGAGGGCTCGGTCCAATTAATAAATTAATATAGCGCTAATTCTATTAGAAATATTAGAATTTATTATATACGGACGGGAATATAGAATATAAATTTACTTATTCCTATACTTCAAAAGCCTATTTACAAATACCGGTAATATCTAAACACTGCTAGGCATAATTAGGCGCTTATATATAATTAGGTGTTTACGTAGGCTAGGTATAGCTTATATTAGTAAACAATATAGGCGTACTATTAGCCGGTTATTCTATATTTTATTTATATTTATAATCGTAATATTCGTCCTTATAAAAATAGTTATAAATATCATTATTTTAATAACCTTTAAAACTAATAGTCCTCTTTACCAAAGAGGCGGGTTTCCACTTCCTCTTTATAGAATCTAAACCTTCTATTTAAATAATTATTAGTTATAGTCGCGTATATAATTAGACTAAAGTAATACTTACAATAACTGTAATTTAAAATAGCTTCTATTATAAAGTAGGAAGTAGATTTAATAGTAGTAATCGCAGGCTGGTTAATCTTATTAGAAATACAAACACCGGTTTAAGTGTTAATATATTGATTAAAAGAAGATGAAATTAAAGGAGGGAAAATTAAAGGGGAGAAAGTTGAAAAAGGAAAGTTAAAGAGGGGAGAAGGCGGGTCGAAATTTATATTTACCTAATTATTAATTTAAACTACGTAGTACTTTTGAATTATTAGGACGGTGGAAATAGTACAATAGCTAGTAAATATAATTATAATAATTCTACCGCCTTCTAATCTACTAGAAAATTAAAATAAAATAATAGGGTACTATAATATCAATGGATAACTCTTCGTTTATTTATTTGATAATTGCCTTCTAAATGACTCTAACTAATATAAATATACCAGAATTTAGATAAATCGTAGAATATTATACGAGTAACTACATTTTACTTACCGTAATCGGCGGGTAAATAGTATTATATAATTAAACGGCGGGAATTATTAATAATAGTACTATTCTAATACTTTCTCTACTTATAAATAATTTTTAAAAATTAGATAAAATAGCGGAGTATTGGGAGTAATAGTCTAGTAAATATAATAATAAAGTTTTAATATTATTTTATATTTAGTATAGGGTAGGTTTAGAAGGCAATTAATTATAGGGACCGCTAGATAGTAAATATAAAGTACCCTATCTTAATAGGGGATTAACAAAGGTCGCTCGGTATAGGAAAGGGTTTATCTAAATTTTAATACACCAAACGGCATACAACCAATTATTTACTATTATATACAATTTATATAATACATTACATCGAATAAATACCCATCTATATCCATAAATAGGATCTTAATCTTCCAAAATATACTAAACTCGCAAGCAATCTTACAGTATTTTATTTAATAGATTTAATTCTCTCCTTTATATCTAAATTCAATTGTCAAACTTTAACTCTAATTATCTAATATATCTCTAATTACCTTTAACTTCTATATTCAATTACACATCTCAAAACTACTTAAATAACAAACCCGCTATACTTCGTCGGAGAACTAAAGTAATTAAAAATCACGACTCCCCCTTATAAATAAATTGTATTATTAATAGACTACTACTATTGAAAATTGGTTATAGGAAACGCGTACCCCTCCCTAAAATATATCTATATTAACCCAATTAATTATAATATTTACGATTACTAAATTTTACCC